AGACATATTTCTGCTGATAGCAGTTCTTGAGGCAGGAGCAATACTCCTGGCCTTGGGCTGCTTCTATCGTTCTTACTTGTTAAGTTTCTTTTCCCAACTATTTCTTATCTCCCTCTTTCTGCCAAATAAAGAGCTGACATTTTGATCAAGAGAAGAAGCAGGGATGGAAATGCACATAAAAAGGACTATCAGATTGAAAGGACTCCCCCGAGTGGACACATGTATAAATGTATAGAGAAAAACTCATCTCTAATGCAACCTTGGGGACTTGAATTATTTACACTCTTTTAATCCCCTTAACTTCAAATCAAGATAACTCATATTGCTTTACAGCCAAGCTTTCAGTTGTGCTATGCGTTCAGGAACAATTCCTGAGCAATCACTGAATTTAACAAATTCATAATCCACCTGCATTTTCTACAAGTATTTTGAGAGCTTAGGCACCTCTTCTTCATTCCCGTTTACTTTTATCGAAATCATTTTTACAGTTTGTATATGTGGTAGGCAAAATAATAAGGATACTATGGTCCACAGAGAACAGGAAACAGAGTTATTTGCTTCTACCCTATATAAGCCTTTTGGAATGTGAGCGAAGTTATAAAGCCTGGATAGGCCCTTACAATTAGCTCTGATACTATTTACTATCTTAACGCTATTAGAGACTTGTTTGAAAAATCACTGGGTGAGTTTACCTTTACTCTGAATAAAAGAAAAATTAATCACGAGTTTGAGAGCTTAAAGAATTTAAAATAAACAGCAAAAACTAAGTTAAGATTTAGTTATTAATAAGATCCAAGAAAGTAACACTGGATTAAATTTGCAAAATTGCAGACAATTAAATTTGAAATGTTGACTGATTCTACAACTTTTTTGAACTAACCATAGCAAAAAAAATGCCTTCCCATGAGAACCACAATTATTTTGGATATCTTGGCTTATAACAAAGATAAGTGACTTTATGATTTTAGAAACTGGACACTGGAGAGGACTAAGGATTCTATAAGGAAGGGGAAAAATACAAGCCGGCTTTTAGCATTGATTAACTCTGACTAAGAAAATGATGCAAAACATCATAACACTAGAAATACTAAGAGACACTTTTATGAATGGAACCAGAAATTAGCAGTTGCAATATCAGTGAGCCATGGTGGTGCAGTTTTCCTAGATCAGGGAATCCTTCCGACAGTCAACCATATCCTTTCACCTCATGGTTTTATTGCAATGTACTCTACATTGGGGCTGCTCTTGAAGATTACCCAGAACCTTCAGCTGGTCCAGAATGCAATGATACAGGCAGTGATAGGCATGCCTTGATATGCCCATGTAATACTTCTGCTTTGCAAGTTATCTGGTTGCCACTTTGCTTTCAGGTACAATTCAAGGTCCTGGTAGCTACTGTGAAATCTTACATGGCATAGAGCCTTTTACTTGAGGTACTACCTGTCTCCCACAGCATCTGCCTGACTGGTTTGATTTGGAAACATTGGTGCACTCCAGGTTCCACTCATAAATAGCACATCTCTTTCTTAGTCCGATTCCTGAGACTAAATAAATCATTTGGTTTAATGCCTAGTGGGTCCTTGGTGAATTAAATCTTGTGGAATTCAACAAATTGTATTGATTAAAATATTCATTTAGCTTCAATACATTTAAATGTCTGAATTGATTTGAATAATTGATTCAAATATTTGAATTTTTGCTTTACCTCCTGACTCTTTTATTACAGTTGTGCAACCTTGTTTAATTAAGTAGTGCAGAACACTCTGCTTATACCATTCGCTTTCAACAGTATTGACACATTAATAATCTATATCGAGTCTTAGTGCAAGGTGGAAACTCAATCTTTCCTTCTCATTTCCTAACATTTACTGGCTTTCGAGTTCCAGGGACGTTACTGCTGATAAGTGCTCATGATTCTTTCTATGTCTATCCTGCCTCTCAATGGACTGTTATCTCGCAGAGGCATAAAATCCCTCCCAGACTGTATTTAATATTGGAAATGATGGATGGGGATGGAAACTGTTCAAAGGGGATGGAAATCTTCTAGAGGAAACAGAGATATTCAGGATCTCTGACGAATGGAAAAGAAGTCAGGGGGGATCTTCGTGTGCTTGAAAAAGCCCCCTTGTATAAAAAAATGAGAGATCTTGAAAGTTCTGTTTTCAGACATACCAGAATTATAAGGTGACCAACTTTTTTACAATGAAAAGGAGGACACAGATAAATTGAAGAAAAAAATATCGTAAATAAAAGAAACATTTTATTCATTGCAACAATAATACAGACAACTTGCATGTGCAAAGTTTGCCAGCCGGGGTTTTGGCGCGCTCAGCAGCAACTCCTATTGGCTTTCGAAAGCCAATAGCGGGAGTAGCACAGCTCATGCAAAAGTTGGGAAAAAAACCATCAAAAAAGGTGCCGGAACGCCGTTCTGAGCGTTCTATGAGAGAGAAAAAAAGCCCTGCAGTTTAGTCTTCAAATATTAAAAAGGAGGACATGTAAGAGGACACTTTTCGAGGGAGGACAGAACTTACAAAAGGAGGACTGTCCTCCCTAAAGGAGGACGGTTGGTCACCTTAAGAATTAATAACTGCCTTACTTATTTAATAAACTCTGCAGTAGTTTTCTGTCATACTTTGAACACTTAGGACCTTAAAAGGCCACATGCAGAGATCATGAGACTTCATTAAATTAGGTTGCGTGAGGGCTAGTATAGGTCATGCATATTCCAGACTGTAAGCTAGAAAGAAAAACAATATTACCTTTTCCCAAATTAACTTGCCCATTTTTTGAAATGTATTTTCTTCATTTGCCTTTATTTTCACTAGAAAAAATATACATGCGTACAAGTGTCATGCCTGCTGTAATGCTAGAAATATATATCTGGAACCTGTATTTTTACTCCCTTTCCATCCCCTCAGTCTTTAATTAAAATTATACTTTTCTGCTACTAATCTTGTTTCAATCTTATTATGAACCTTCATTTAACATTTTTTTTGATCAGCTGCTTTGAGCTGGCATGGAAGAAAGAAGATTTTTTGTTTATTTGTAGTATATAATCCAGCTTCACGCTTCCCCTCAATTTAATTAGGAATTAAGTGAAGCACTCAATTAGACAGAGAATCACATTTCTGTAACTCTCCTTATAGTGTAATAGTGAGGAAGATTATTTTAATTTTTAGTGAGTCTCTGGTTCTTCCTGTACTTGAAGAGAAATACACAATGTATTTTTTTGTGTATAAAGAAACAGGACTAAGCTTTTAAAACATACAGTCATATCAGCTCATACTTGATTGCCTGATTTGAGGGCAGCAATTTTTTTTAAGAGGAGGCCATAGAGTTGTATATACATCCTAACATGCTCGCCATGATACTACAAACCAGAGAACACCTGGTGTACTGAAGGAGCACTGATATGAAAACAGTGCTAAAATCAATCATTCAACAAATCAGTAATTTCTTTGTTCCCTTACTCAAACACTGGCTAACAGGATATCAGTATAGAATAGCTATAGGACAAATTTATGAGTAAATTTGTTGTGAACTTCTGTGATATTCTCCTAGGAAAATAGATAAGAGAATATGATGTCAATGCTCCTATGTGTCTTTGTCTTCAGATCTATTTTGGAAAAGCATCTGATTAGATAGATGAATGAATCACACTATCCCCCTCCTTGTATTCAAGATATTAAAGTATCTGGCCTACAGAAATCAGCGTTACAATGGCTGAGGCGCAGGAAATTACATTCCTGAAAGCCTTCTCACCTTGAAATTCTTATGAAAAGTTGAGCTGTCATAAATAAATAAACATTGTCTTTGAAATTGTGAGAGCTGCGGTTGGGGATTTCTACACTTTATTACCTTCTTCTAGTACCTGTTTAAGAGGAATAGTGCCAGTGCGTTCTTGTGCATTTGTTGCCACTAAGAAATCTACAAACGTGTGGAACAAGTATGTTTTATCCTTTCCCCTAGTCCAGGGGTAGGCAACCTTGGCTCTTTTATGACTCGTGGACTTCAACTCCCAGAATTCCTGAGCCAGCATGGCTGGCTCAGGAATTCTGGGATTTGAAGTCCACGAGTCATAAAAGAGCCAAGGTTGCCTACCCCTGCCCTAGTCACATGGAACCAGTTCATGATGACATTTTAAGGTTGGGGAGATGCGCAGGGCCGTTTCCCCCATCTTTGGGTACAGTTAAGTGCCAAAGTAGACCTTTTGTGATGAGAAAGGGGAATAATCCACGGAAGGCACAAGATTCCAGTGATTCTTGTAACCTGATTTGCGTTTACCGAATTCTTTCCACTAAACAAAGACTGGTGAGTTAGGTTTCTTTTTTCTCCCCCTCTCTAAGGAATATAGGCCCTCTCCTACTATAAATTAATCCGTTTTGGACTTTATCACTGTATAGCGCTTTAAAAAAAAAAGGTGTGTGTGAGTTGCATTACAGCGATAGCTCCCGACGAGAGGAGGCTAGACAACTACGATCCCCAGAATCCTTTGCGGCGGGAAAAGATGGTATTAGTCGCCGTCGTAAATTGCTTAAAAAAAAAAAAGAAAAAGAAAGAAAGACGTACTCTATGCCCGGGTCGCTTTACGGCCGAGAATCGGATCCGCTTCCGGTAGAAGTTGGCGGAGGGATCGGTCCAGTGGTTCCTTGTAGCCCGGAGACGTGACGCTTCTTGCTTTGCGATGGGAAGAAGCCGATTGTGACATTCTCTTCGCTCCCTCCCGCCCCCTCCTCCCTTGCCCGGACAAAGCGGGCCCCTCCAGGCCTGTCGGGATGGAGGAAGAGAGCATGGAGGAGGAGGGGGGCGGCGGCGGCGGCGGCAGCATCAGTAGCAGCAGCAGCAGCTACGAGGCCTTCATGGATGACCAGAACCACAACAACTGGGATCCTGCGGCGGGAGGGCGAGGCGGAGGCTACGGGCTGTCTCCTTCGCCTTGCCCGGGAGAGTCCCGTAGCGCGTGTGGGCACAGGGTAGCAGAGGAGCTTGAGATCCACATGATGTCCGAGGCCGCCAACGGGCCAGGGAAGGGCTGCGAAGCCGCGCCGGGAAAAGGAGGGGCTGCTGCTGCCGCCGCCGCCTCTGCCAGCATCAACCTCAACATCAACCCTTCGGCCTCTAAGTTCTGTGAGTGAGGCCCCCCGCATCCTTGGGTCCATTCTTCCTGCCTCCAGATCAAAGAAGTGGAGTGTGGCCCATGAAGGAGGAGAAATTGAACTAGAAAGAGAGAGTTTGGCTCTTGCCACTTTTTTTTTTCCCAGCTGACCAGCAAGCACCCTTTCCCCAGGTTAACATTTAGCTCAGTGGTTCTCAACCTTTTTAATGCCGCGACCCCAACCGGTCGTAAGTTGAGGACTAAACCGGTCGTAAGTCGAGGACTAGACCGGTCGTAAGTCGAGGACTAAACCGGTCGTAAGTCAAGGACTACCCAACCAGTCGTAAGCCGCGTGGTTCTGCCCCCTGCGCCGGGAGAGGCGTAGCTGGCAAGCGGCAGAGACGGAGCAGGCCGACCACCAGCTGGCCCAGCCCAAGGGAGGTAAGGCACCCGCCAGAAAAGGGGGAAAAAATGGCGGACAAAAAAAATGGCGGACAGCCTTGCTTGGCGACCCCCGTGAAATGGTCGATCGACCCCAAATGGGGTCCCGACCCACAGGTTGAGAACCACTGATTTAGCTGGTAGGAAACCTTGGCGAGCCAAGCTATCTCTTGCTTATTCAATTTCTCCTCTTTCACGCAACAACCATGGGCATCATTTCACTTTTGGCTGTGTCCTCCTCCTTTGCTTGGCAAAGGGTAGAGAGAACTAATTGATTTGGTGGTGGATTTTGCCCTGAAGTCTACAAGCGCCCATAAGTAAGTAGTGGAATATAGAGATTTGGTTTTGAAGTTCAATCTAGAGGTCCATGTTTAGCGGTGGAAGAATTTCTTCTTCTAATCCCATTGAGAGGTGACCAGCTATTTTAATGTAGGCACTTAAAAAAACACACCCATTTCATAATTTTGAAAGCTTACTCTTTGTACTGTAATACTGTAATGTTGTGTTACTGTTTTATGTGTTCTTTAAGAGTTGTATCTAGATCAGGGCTGGTGGTTCATAAACCCAACATTTAAAAACAGATTTTGAATCTCAGTAGAATCTTTTTGCAGTGATTCTTTAAGCAGCAATTAGTCTTCCCAGGCTTATAGGGTCCTAGAGAAATATGTAGCTAAACTTTTTGTGATTAGCAGTAGAAGATATACGTTAATATTTGTAATGATCTCTTTGAAAATATACAGTCTAAAATGCCAGTTTGTTTATGAAATATCTGTGTATATTTCTGCTATGTTTTCACTCAGTAATTTCAGACGCTCTTGTGTATGCTTGTTTATAAATATGTAAATCTGTGTCAGTAGGCATAGAATCAGAATCTGAGTTAAAATAGAGGAATGTTCCATTTGCGTTAGAAATAAGATGCTGAGGCCCTAGAAAGCGTACAGAGAAGAGCATAAAAGATGATAAGAGGTCTGGAGGCTAAACCATATGATAAACGGCTAAGGGAATTAGAAGTGTTTAGCCTAATGAAGAGACGACTTGGGGTGACATGATTGCCATCTTCCAATACCTGAAGGGCTGCCACAGAGGAAGAGGGAATCAATTTGTTCTCCAAAGCACCTGAGGATAGGATAAGAAGGAATGTGTGGAAGTTGGTCAGAGGGAGATCTAACTGGAACTAAGGGATAGTTTCGACAGTGAGAACAATCAGTGGAACAGCTTGTCTCCCAGAGTTATGGGTGTTTCATTGCTGGAGGTTTTCAAGAAAAGACCGAACAATCATTTGGTATAGAACAGACATGTCAAACACAAGGCCTGGGGGCCAGATGCGACCCGCGAAGTGGTTTCATGTGGCCCGCGAAACCATCCTGGAAACAGTGAGGGAATGGTCCCCGCTGCCTTGGCTCTGGCCCAGGCCGGCCGGGAGCCAATGTACAATTTTGTGGTGGCCATCTATGCTGAAACGCATTCAGTCTTAGCTCCACAAGGCCGTCTAGAAACAGCAAGGAACCAGCCCCTGCCGGGTCACCCCCGCCCCTTGGGTGCATGCTGGGGAGGTGTCACCCTTTGTGAGGAATGAAGAAATGGACCATGCCTTGGCGCTTGCCCCGGTCCCACCCCCTTCTGCCAGAGACCCTCAGATCTGTCCCACTCCTGCCCAGGCCCCCACAGGCACCCTTGACACAAACGATGTAGAGCTGGCCATGCCCACCCAGTAGGCCACACCCACTCCATCCACACCCACCCAGTAGGCCTCACCCACCCTGGCCGCACCCACCTGGCCCCCCGAGGGCAACCGCAATGCTGATGCGGCCCTCAATGAAATTGAGTTTGACATCCCTGGTATAGAATAAGGATTCCTGCCTTGGCCAGGGGGTTGGAATAGAAGACCTTCAAGGTCCTTTCCAGCCTTATTCTATCGCCGTCCCTTTTATGTCAAACGCACCATTTAAGGCACTTCTGGGTTGAAAGGATTAGCTGGTGACATCACCATTGCTGGAGCAAATGACAGGAGCTCACCCCGCCACACAGCAGCATTCGGGTCTCGAACGCAGGCTTGCTAACCTTGAACCCAGGGTCCTACTATGCTCCTGTATTCTGTGATAATGTAGAAATACTCTTGTCTCTATGGTTTGAGCTTTGCATTTAAATTTTGTATTTGTTGCTAATTATGCTAACTGCATTCTTTTATCAATTACAGTATACTTTCTCTTCTAGTAATGAATGTTATAACAATAGAAGATTATAAGAGCACATATTGGCCAAAGTTGGACAGTGCCATAGATCAGCTTTTAACTCAGTGTCCTGGTGACTATATTCCCATTTCCTATGAACAAATATACAGGTAAGGAAATAAAAATAATAAAAAACCTTGATTATACAATAACAGATTATTTCAAGCTTGCATTATTTCAGTTGCTTGCAAGATGCTAATGAAAACTTTTAGTAAACTAGTATAATATTTAAAAGTATAGTGGTAATTCTGGCATTAGATTTCTAAATATTTAGGGTTTGGTTATTTAAATTGGATGAAAATAAATGCACTTGGTTAACATCTTTCTTTTTTAGGAATGTACTTGTTTCTATGTTAGAAAAGCATAGTCACATAGTAGAAAATGTTTGCATTTCTTTGTAAAATAAAATGTGCAAGACTCACTTGCATGTTTTCAAACTGCAACTGAAGACAACCCTGGAATTTCACTAATCAAATGAAAAACTTAATGTATCGATAAAGGAGAATATACTGTATAGATTCTCTGTTAATGCGAAGATACATGAATGTGCTTTGATTCTAATCAAAGAGTTGTCATCTCTAGTATTTCCTTCTTCAAGACAGAGATCCTGTTTTTAACTGTGATTTTAATGACATTTCAACCAATTCTTAATTCAAGTGGTGTGTGTTTATGCCATAAAAATCAGCGCTCAAAATAGAACTATTTCTATTTTGGTGTCTTTAGGGGACAGAAGTAAGGTATCAGTATAATGTAGTTCTAGGGTTGTGCTTCCAGAACTCTATATTAATACATAGTTGTATGGTTTAGAGTTATATTCTTAGAAATACTAAATGCAAGGAATTGATTCTCTGCTTTATGTAATAGTTAAAATGTTCAGATACTATTAATAATATTTTAGCCACATTGAAAACAATTGAAGTTAACCTAGTTATAAGTAACTAGTCCTGTTGATTTCAGTGGGATGAAAAGTGCTAACTAAGCCAAAATTCAGACCTTGTAATGAATATTGAAAAGCGGATCTTTTCTTAATTCTGTTCTGTCCCTGAAAAGAAATGTTTAGAATATTGTATTATGAATAAATGCATGATTAAAATATAAAATTTCAAAAAGGCATCAATAACAGAATTAAATGATATGTTTGGTTAAAACATATCTTTATAACATGATGAGTTAACTAAACAATATTGCCAGAGTTTAAAAATGGGATCATTATATGTAAAACAGCCTTGAGTTTTTAGATCTTGTGCAATTCTCTGTAATAAATACAGATCTGCTTCCATAAACCTGTTAGTTAATGGGTTTAGAATGTAATAAATGTATATTTAAAATCGACCTATATCAGTTCCTTTAGGGATCTTTCAAAGTTAAGCAGCACTGAAAAAAGTGACTTATGACCATTTTTCACACAACTGTTGCAGCATCCCCATGGTCACGTGATCAATATTCAGATGCTTGGCAACTGGTTCATATTTATAACCATTGCAGTGTCCTGAGATCATGTGATCCCCTTTTGCAACCTTCTGACAAGCAAAGTCAATGGGGAATCCATTAACAACCGTGTTATAACGTTAACAACTGTGGCAAGAAAAGTTGTAAAATGGGGCAAATTCACTTAACAAATGTTTCACTTAGCAACATAAATTTTGGGCTCAATTGTGGTCATAACTCGAAGACTACCTCTCTTTAAAATACATTTCTGCAGGCTTAATATTGTCAATTCATCATTATTCCTGTATTTATTTCTGCAGTTGTGTATATAAATGTGTGTGCCAGCAGCATTCGGAACAGATGTATAGTGACCTAATAAAAAAGATAACTAACCACTTAGAGAGAGTCTCAAAGGAGCTGCAGGTAAGAAGTTGCACAATTTTCTTTCCTGGGACAGTATCCCAGTAAAATGCCAGTGATCTGTTGGAGTTATTGCTATCATAACTCCTGTTGTTTCCTCTGCAGAACTTGATTGACCTGATTTGTAATGCATTAGTTGTGAGTAATTCTTCTCTAGGGAATTCAGAAGTTACTGTCCATGTGAGCTCATGTATTTCAAAAGGGATCATGATGCCAAAAATGAATTAATATGGATTTGCCCTGAGCATATATAGCTGTGAATAATAAAAATCCCCACTACTGTAGGTTGAATCGGATTCCTAATGATTTCAGAGGCACATTCATATAATTTTCTTGGCAACTATTAGATTTGCCATTGTCTCCTGAGGTACTCTTTCAGCTTCCTGGATTAGATCACTTCCTGGTGATCTCCCTTCTAAGTACTAACCAGGTTTGACTCTGTTTAGTACTTTGAGATCAGCCATAGCAGTGAACAAAATCTAGGATAATTGCTCAAATGTCCCCAAAGAAACATGTAGTGGATGTGTGCCTATATGTAGCTATTATTTTTAGCTAGCTTAAATTAGCCTTTAATTGTCAAACCGAACTGAAGCCATTTTCATTTTGTCTTTATTTGCCACATTTTAGTTTAGAGATATTAGATCAGTGTTTCTCAACCTTGACAATTTTAAGGCATGTGGACTTCAACTCCCAGAATTCCACAGCCAGCAATGCTGGCTGTGGAATTCTGGGAGTTGAAGTCCACATGCCTTAAAATTGTCAAGGTTGAGAAACACTGTATTAGATGAAGAGGGGTGGGGGATACGTAGTTCTCAGTTAGCCAAAACAGTTCATATGTGTGAGAATCAAGGTCAGTACTGATAACATTTTGGGGGCACTTGTTTTGTAACAATTGGTGAATATGATTTATGGCAGCAGTTTGGAGTAGGAATTGCAATAGTAACTTTGTAACCAAGGGGAGGAGATTTTTAGTCTTGGGTACACCTATGTACATGCCGATATTTTGTTTCCTAAATAAAATGTTCTCTAAGGAAGAAAGTTTTTCCTTGAAGTTCTTTTAAACGGTTTTCATCTATCGTAACCATGACATTAATCTTCTTGCAGAATTTTGGGTTGGAAAACTTTATCAGTGTTCAAGCAATGTTTGATTGTATTGTACATTCATTTGTATTTCATTAGGTTGATCAAAACATGCTGTTCATTTTTACTCAGCTTGTCAGTTTAAAGAAAGAACCTTCCTAGTTTCACAAAACTAGGATTTTTACTGATCATCTGAAGAAATTTGTTTTTTTATCAACAAGCATTGGGGTTTTTATTTAGAACCTGATTTTAAAACAGACCTCCTTCTATATGGACATTTGTTGCTTATTAACAATTAGCCAGCATGATATTAGAAAATGAGCAATGCACTGACAGGAGTAAATGGAAATAAATTAGTTTGCTTGTCAGTATTCAGTTCAGTCTTTAATATCAGAAAAAAAAACAATTTCATATTTGTATTTAGCTGTGCTTTCGTTGTAGTCTATTAATATGTATGAAGAATGTAGCTTCATCTTCAAACTCTTGAGGTTTGTCAGTAAATAGGACTTTGAGGAAAAGTATGTTGCTTTGGCATGCTGTAGGTTTTCTACTACCATGTTTCACCAAAAATAAGACCCGATCTTATATTAATTTTTGCTCCAAAAGACACATTAGGGCTTATTTTCCAGTTGGATCTTATTTTCAGGGAAATACAGTAATAGCAGCTCACTGAAGAGATGTGTAGCTAGCTGAATATTGTAACTTTCTTCTTGCATTCCTGTATTGAAATAAAACACCAGTGTTGCATTTGCATGTGGAGGCTTCTTCCTCCTTGAAACAGATGCAAATCTGCATAGCGCACAATTTTTTTGGATTAGAAGTCACACTTCATCTTCAGCATGTGCCAAGACCTGTCCTTCAGAAAGTACTATAGACACTTTTCCCCTTCTTTTTACTTAAACTTTTTTTCATTTATATTCTTTTGGATGAAATTTTAAAAAAAGTACTGAAAACTAAACTTTATTTCAACATATAGAACTCATGTTTATTAAAATTAAATATCACTAGTGTTAGTAGTGTAGGCAGTCCTTCAAATTTAAAACATCCAAAAGCTGAAACAAATGGTTCAAATTTGAATTTTTCCCTCATTTCTTGTTAATATGATTATTCCCAAATGTGCACTTATTTTTCTTCTGATATCTTAAAAATTATAATATGGAAACAACTTTTGAAGGTTGGTAGGAGCCACATTCAAGTTTTTTGGGGAGCTACTTGCCATCCTGAGATTATATATTTCTGTTAGATTGTATTTCAGTTGAATTGGTTTTGGCTTATAATTGCTAGAGTACTGGGCAGTAGCTTTTGTTAAAAGCAGCAATATTGGTTTGTTGAACTGAATGGCTAGCTATACTCTGGCATCTTTTCCTGTAGCTGAATGTTCCTATAGAATAAAGAATAGAATAAGGATCTTCCCTTTCTTGAGGATACGCATAATCCTTTCCCAGACTTCTTTAAGTCCATACTTTGCACGTGATTTTGCAATAGGTAATTTAAGAAACACCTCATTACTATTCTTATATCTTAATTACAACTTTGTCAATTAAAAATGTATACTACCTGGTTGATCTGCAAGCACATATACTTGAGGTTTCAAAGTGGTTAAACTCTGGTCTGATTAGTAGGTTGTTCTTTTATCATGGTGGAGGCTCTTGGTAGTGCACTTCTTGAGGTAAACTATTTTCTATCCTGCAGCAAAACAGAACATTGCCGATAATATGCAAAAAATCAGCTTTCCAGAACAGTGTTTTTAATATAATCCAGCATTCAAATCATCCTGTTTTGAGGCTAAATCATACCTGATGTCAGGAGCAAGTAACCAGGAACACGAGTTTAGGTCAAAGCACTTCAAGTTCACTATATGCTACCTATACACAAAAATCTGATCTACTAACGGTCAAGGCAAATTGGCACTAGATAAGAGCAGTCGAATTCAAGGGGGGCTGGACTTAGGTCTCTTTTGAGAGCAGAGCAACTCCAAATTGATGATGCATTTGGCCCCACCACCCTCGAGCTCAGCCTGGTCATTTCCTACACCTGGGGCACTGAAATACTTCATGTCCTGGAAAATTAATGTCAAGCTAAGCCTAAGGACAATGAAGAGAAATTCAGCCAGAGTTTACTTCTTTCTTTGCTTATACACAATAGACAGAATCTTGCAGGCTAAACCCTTGACTACTCTCACCCTGTACCTTGGGAGATTCTGGGGAGTGGCTATCTTTATTTTTTTCTATGTAGTTCTGCCCTGTGCTGCCTCTTGTCTGCCCCCCTTTCTGGAATGTGCTCCTTTCTGGGAGACTGCTGCTTCACTATAGTCTATCACATCACACTAGGTCCCCCACTCACATATACTTCCAAAGCTGAACAACTTCCAGAGCAGTATGTTCTGAGGAAAAAATAAATAAAGGATCATCCCTGTGGAATACTGGACTGTTCCATATTCATTTGGCAACATAAGGATGCATTCTTTTGTTATTATGAGGTTGAGCAATGAAATTACCCTTGCATTACTAGAAGTATTGCCTGATTACCTTAGCATTTTAGGGAAAGATTCTTCCCTCCTGTTTATATCTGACTGCCTTTATTTATATGGAACAGAACAGAATAGAATAGAATAGAATAACAGAGTTGGAAGGGACCTTGGTGGTCTTCTAGTCCAAATCCTGCTTATGCAGGAAACCCTATGCCAGTGATGGCGAACCTTTTAGAGACCGAGTGCCCAAAAACTGGCCCTGCCCCCCACTCCACCCCCCTGCCTGCCCCTGCTCTGCCCCCCCACCCCGCTTGCCCACAGGACCACTCACCACTTCCAGGGCCTGCCGCAGATCGCCCAGGCAGCCCAGCAGTGCTATGGCAGCCACACCCTCTGCCCACGCACTGTACCATCAACTGCATGATGGGGTGCGAGGGCAGAGTCTTGTCTACGCTGCCTGGTTGCCATGTCCTTGGCTGCGCTGCTCCATGTGGACCACGCTCGAGGGCGAGTCTCCTTCAGGGGGGCTGCTGGAGATGAGGGGGTTGCGGGGGGAGGCAAGGCTGGGGCAACGGCACGTGTGCCCACAGAGAGGGCTGAGTGCCGCCTCTGGCACCCGTGCCATAGGTTCGCCACCACTGCCCTATACCATGTTAGACAAATGGTTGTCCAATCTCTTCTTAAAAACGTCCAGTGTTGGAGCATCCACAACTTCTGGAGGCAAGTTGTTCCACTGATTAATTGTTCTAACTGTCAGGAAGTTTCTCCTTAGTTCTAGGTTGCTTCTCTCCTTGATTAGTTTCCACCCATTGCTTCTTGTCCTGCCTTCAGGCGCTTTGGAAAATAGCTTGACTCCCTTTTCTTTGTGGCAGCCCCTGAAATATTGGAACACTGCTATCATGTCACCCCTCACCCTTCTCTTCATTAAACTAGACATACCCAATTCCAGCAACCGTTCTTTATATGTTTTAGCTTCCAGTCCCCTGATCATCTTTGTTGCTCTTCTCTGCATATATCTTGCCTTTATTATTTTTATAAATAACTCAAGGTGGTGAACATAACTAATATCCTTCCTCCTATTTTTCTCACAACAACAACCCTGTGAGGTGAGTTGGGCTAAGACAGTGGTTCTCAACCTTTTTAATGCCGCGACCCCAACCGGTCGTAAGTCGAGGACTAAACTGGTCGTAAGTCGAGAACTAAACCAGTCGTAAGTCGAGGACTAAACTGGTCGTAAGTCGAGGACTACCCAACCGGCCGTAAGTCGAGGACTTTCCCTGCCCAGGAGCACCGCGCATGCGTGGTTCCGCCCCCTGCGCCGGCCGAGGCGTAGCTGGCAAGCGGCAGAGACGGAGCAGGCCGATCACCAGCTGGCCCAGCCCAAGGGAGGTAAGGCACCCGCTGGAAAAGGGGAAAAAAATGGCGGACAAAAAAAATGGCGGACAGCCTTGCT